TGTCTCCTGGAATTTCACCCAAGCCCCTCAGTCCTCAGTTCGCAAATCACATTTTAATTTAAACGTTGACGTTTTATTTAGCCTATCTTTTTTTTTTTACCTGTAAGTGTGTTATTGTTCAAACTATTTATTATGTTTAAAGTGACTGACAATAATAAATATTCATTAATAATCTGCCACGTGTGAACTGTGCAGAGCTGAAGCCGCTTAATTAGACCTAGTATGTATTTCAGAAATGTTTTCTGAGGTGGTACTTGGTGAAAAGAGTCTGAGAAACACTGCTATAGACAATTCTATAAAATAAAATAAAATAAAATAAAATAAAAAACAAACAAACATGTTTTGTAGAATTATCTGTTGTGTGCATGTTGTCTTAGACCCGTTTATTAAGTCTGTCCTCCACGACTCATCATCCCTCTATTTAGCTTCATGCAAATATATATATATATATATATATATATATTTATATATATATATATATATATTTATATATATATATATATATATATATATATATGTATGTATATATATACATATATGTATGTATGTATTAGTACATACTATATACATAGTATGTATAAATTAGTAGTTTATTGATCTAAAACTCTTAGTTAATTGTTTGTTAATACAGTGAATTATACATAAAAATAAATTGTCTCTAAGCATTTTTATAGATTTGTGAATGAATGGCCTGATTTCGGCAGTACCTCGTCTGGACTGGAGGCCTGGTAAACCCTGCACGTGTCCTCATAGTGTTGTTCGGCCTCAGCCTGATCCGTCACGCCGTTGGCCTCGTATACCGGAGTGACGTTGTGCACCAGAGCGATGGCCTTCACTGCCTCGTGAACGCGACTGCTGATGGTCTTCCTCACTTTAGTGGCGCCTGGTGCTCGAGACGCCTGCAGGTCCTGAGGAGGCTGTGAGAATCAAACATGAGTGACTGTGCTGTTCCAGGTCTTTGAATATAATGCAAAGATGAAGAATTTATTTATAAAGAGTCATCCTCATTACTTTGACTCTATAACCAAAACAAAAAACCAGCACTTTTGACATAATGATTAAACCTCCACATTCTGTGATTGCTAATAAAGCGAGCCTCTTGCTAATATCCTGAAAAAGGACTCATAAACGCTCCCAGATGTGTTTCATATATGAACAATTACCTTTAACGCTGAGCTACTATTTATAGCATGCACATTTCCGAGGGCTAATGGCGGTGTGTAAGTTCGTATATAAGCTATAACTGGTACTAGTAACCCGGTTTCCTGACTCGATGACCTCTGGTGTCAAATGGACAAAACATCAGCCAGAGGTGAAAGAGACTCCTTTTACAAGGACTTCTGGACAAAAAAGCTGAACAATTGTGCTTTTGTGATTGGATTTTCTAAACAGGCTGGTTATACAGTGAAGGGTAACATACTAAATTGACATATTTACAAGGTGGGTGGTATGATTAATATTGTATATTGTGAATAACTCTTTGTCAGTTGTACATTTATATGTTTGGCAAATGTTTTTATGATAAAATATTAGCATTAAAAAAGTGTAGTAAAATTCACTGTTTTAGAGTAAACCCCAAAATGCAAAACTATTAGGTGCTTTTTAAACCAACTATATATAACTATATCTATATATAGTCAGTGAAACATTTTCAGTGTTTATTAAACTCATTTGCTCATTGTCTGTTTTCTTTTGAAGTCTTTAAATTTGATATTACGCCTTGTAGGACAAATATTTAATTTAATTTATGGGTCCTATAATCCAATAATTATAATTTAATAATTTATATAAAGCATAACATTTAATAAATATTAACATATTAATTAGATAAAATTAACATCTGCTCTGGACAATATACTTAGACCAGCCTTGATTGATATCATATATTGTGAATAACTCAGTCAGTTGTGCATTTAAATGTTTGGCAAAAGTTTTTATGATAAAATATTAGCCTTATAAAATGTAGTAAAATTCACTGTTTAGGAATCAAACCTTGACGGCCTCGTTGCTGCTTGTGGGATTAAATTTAAGATTCAAATGAATTGTTTATCAACAGATTTGTAAAATCCTGTGAAATTCAATGACAAGCTCTAAATTACTCAAATGAAAATAAATTAGAACTAAAAAAATAACTTTAACTATTTAACTTCAAAGTATTTATGATGAAATCATTATAAAAATGCGGTAGGACATAAATACTAGGGGTGTGAAAAAAACAAAGCCCAAAATGCAAAACTATTTAGGTGCTTTTTTTTCTAACTTGTAATGATCATTATTTTACTTCTGTTTTAATGAATTATGTGCCGTCAAAGACACACACAAACACTGCGAAATATTTTGCTAATAGATTTTTAATCAACTGAAAAAAAGAAAAAAAAAAAAAAAAATCACAAAATTCACCTTTATTCAATTCACCTTTATTTGTATAGCGCTTTTACAATGTAGACTGTAGCCCCTTTCACACATACAGACCTTTCCGGAAAATTGGCGGTCCTTTTTGAAAATACCGGTAAATTCATTCTGGCTATTTTCTGGAAAGAGAAGTTGTAAGATTACCGGCAATTTGCCGGAATGCTGCGCTGTGTGAATACAGAAGGAAGATTGCCGTAATAAGCGCGTGCACGTCTAGAACGTGTTGACGTGAGACGTCTGCTTTAGCCAATCACAACAGTCAGACGCATTTACGTCTGCGCGGTTTGTGAGAATAAAAGTCTTTGAATATTTTTCCAGACACATTTAGCTGCTAGAAGTTAGTCAGATCACGTTTATATGTTCTTCTTAATGCCAACTGTGTAAATAATCATCGATGAGATGCTTATGATAAGCCGTTGTTCATTTACCTTCAAGCTTTGCATGTGCTTGTGAAACAGCCTGTGAGCGCCTGCACACGCACATATTATGAACATCTCGACATGCGAAAGTGATCCTGAGAAAGTTGTTCACAATATTGATCATCCACAGAGTTTGTAATTTAGTCAAATGTTTACAAATACAAGCGCAGCCGTTTAAAGCTCATTTGTGGTGAATGATGTCAGAATTTACCGGTATTTTGGAATGGATGTGTGAATGCTCTTTTCCGGAAAATTTCCGTAACGTCCTCGTGAACAGCATTTTTTTGAATATACCGGTAAAGTCGTTTCGGAAATTTTCCAGATATTTACCGGTATCACTGTGTGAAAGGGGCTTGTGTCAAAGCAGCTTCAATTAGAAGATCATAGTAAATTGAAACAGTGTAGTTCAGTTTTCAGTGTTTAAGTTCAGTTCAGTTTAGCTCAGTTCAGTGTGGTTAAATAGTCACTACTGAAAGTCCAAAATGCAAAACAATTTAGGTGCTTTTTAAAAAAAAAAAAAATGGCAATGAATGGTATTTTATTTCTATTTTAGTCTTCTATTTAATCGTATATTCTACTTCTAAGGACAGGCAAACACTACAAAATACTGACCTTACATGAGAAATCTAACTCCTTTCCACAAATTGAGCTTAAAAAAAAAAGATTCTAATTTTTGCTACTGGTAATGATGATGTGACGAGTGTAGAGGAGTTATTGTATGTGTGTGTGTGTGCGCTTATAGATTTGTGTATCAGTGGTACATTACTGACTCAGTAATTAGACTCAGTCTTGTTACAGAATGCGGCTAAAAGTCCTTCACGATATTAATAGTTTGATATAGGTCTGTACATGTCTGTACTGCACTTCAATAATGAGACTAAAATACCAATAGTCCACATGTCTTAATTCCGTTTGCGTTTATGACGATTATGATTTTCAGCATATCTAAAGTGCAATTCCATCACATGGTTATGAAGCATGGTTAATGTGTGTGTATGGCAGAATTTGTAGCCTCTGTTGGACACGGCAGCCGCTGAACTCTGGTGAAAAAAGAATGGTTACATCAACCTCACCCACCCAACCGAGTGACACACGCAACTTCGAGGCCACGGTGGGTTGGGTTTTCAGGTGTGTGCAAAGCACCTGATTTGCAGTTCAAATCCAATCACATCATAACATCACAACTCACAAGACAACTTTTCACCTTGACAAGAAACCTTGTCGCGATTTAATCTTGCAAGATCTTATCATATGCAATCTTGTCACATCCCTAATAAATACATAGAAAAAAATCTATCTTTTTTGCTGCCAAAATATGTTTTTAAGAATAAAATATAATGAGTAAGGACAAAAAAAGATATAAAATAAAATACAAATATTAGGTCAAAAGTTTAAATAAAATATATATATATTGTACTGCCAACTATCTAAAAAAAGATTAACTGTAAAATTACTACAATAAAATTTAATAAGGATTATTTTTTTAATCACATTAACTCACAAAATATGTATGATTAATTTTATGATTTTTCATTATAAAGATGCTGCAAGACATAAATACATAGAAATAACTACTTTTTTGCAGCCAAAATATGAATAAAATATAATAAAAGGTTGTAAGACAAAAAATTAAATAAAGTCAAATAAAATAAAATTAAATCTAAAAAATAAAGATAAAGCTCTAAAATTTGTAAAAAAAAAAAAAAAAATTAGGATTAATATTTTAATTAAATTAAATTATAACAACATTAAGCCATAAATACAAAGAAAAACCAGACAAAAAATAAAAATAAACAAATAAATAAATAGATATAATAAATATTGGGCAAAAAGACTGAGCAAAAAATAATAATAAAAATGAAATAAAAGCCAACAATCTAAAAAAAAGGAAAGATGGACTCTAAAATATTAAATAAAAATAAATTTAAACAAAAAAAAAAATATTACATCAACTCGCATATAAAAACAGGGAATTCTGGGAATACCTGAGTGTAAGCACTGAACACGTGACTCTGCACTTCATCCATCGAGTCCATCCCATAAGCCACTGTTCCCAGATGAAGACGTCTGAACACCATCTCATTCTGAGTCAGAGTCCCTGCCAGAAACAGCAATGTTAGAGGTGGACGAGGCCAAACAAACACATCTGCTTATACAGTTGCAGCTAAAGCATGACATTTTAACAGATGTTTTAGTAACCTGCACTGATGCTATTATTAACTAAAACTGAAATCCATTAACATTTAAAATCTGATATATATGATGGCTACTAAATCTAAAAACATAATTATAGTTAAACATAAAATAAAGGCCGACACGGTGGCTCAGTGGTTAGGACTGTCGCCTCACAGCAACAAGGTCATTGGTTCAAGTCCCGGCTGGGTCAGTTGGCGTTTCTGTGTGGAGTTTGCATGTTCTCCCCGTGTTTGAGTGGGTTTCCTCCAGGTGCTCCGGTTTTCCAAAAACAAGCGCTTCAGGTTAATTGGGTTGGTCAACTAAATTGTCCATTGTGTATGTGTGTGAATGAGAGTGTATGGGTGTTTCCTAGAGAACCTCGAGGCGGATGGGCTACAGCAGCAGCAGAAGACCACACCGGGTGCCGCTTCTGTCAGCTAAGAACAGGAAACTGAGACTACAATTGGCACAGTCTCACTAAAATCGGAAAACAGAAGATTGGAAAAATGTTGCCTGGTCTGATGAGTCTCGATTTCTGCTGTGAATTTCGGATGGTAGGGTCAGAATTTGCCATCAACAACATGAAAGCATGGATCCATCCTGCCTTGAATTAACAGTTCAGACTGGTAGTGGTGGTGTAATGGTGTGGGGGATATTTTCTTGGCACACTTTAGGCCCATTAGTACCACTTTAGCATCATGTCAATGCCACAGCCTACCGGAGTATTGTTGTTGACCATGTTTATCCCTTTATATCCACAGTGTACCCATCTTCTGATGGCTACTTCCAGTAGGATAACGCGCATTTCATTCCATGGACTGAACCAAAAAGCTAGCCGGCCAGTGTAAAAAAGGGCGGAATTCCGGGAGTTTTCCAGGACACAGAACAATATGGGAGAAGGGCGGGAGATGGGTCTGAAATACGGGAGACTCCCGGGAAAAACGGGAGTGTAGGCAGGTATGCTGTGTGTGTGTGTACACATTCTGTAATTTTGAATTCTGCATTTATATATATACACACACACACACACACACACGTATATATACACACATACATACATATACATATATACATATACACACACACACACACGTATATATACACACATATATACATATACATCTATACATATACACACACACACACACACACACACACACACACACACACATACATATATATATATATAAATATATAAATATATATATAAATATATATATATATATATATATATATATATATATATATATATACACATATATATATATATATATATATAACTATTTTTTTTCTATTAATACTTTTAACAGTATGATTAGTAATAGTATTAATAGTAATAATATTCATTCATTCATTTTCTTTTCGGCTTAGTCCCTTTATTAATTTGGGGTGGCCACAGCGGAATGAACCGCCAACTTATCCAGCATATGTTTTACGCAGTGGATGCCCTTTCATCCGCAAACCATCACTGTGAAAAGTTATAGCATCAATAAGAAATATTATTTTTCCTATTGAGTTTTAGATACTTGAAATAAACCTATTTGCAAACTCTTGAATTTAACTATTCTATTAGTTTGACTTTCCTAGACAACATTAATCATTTTAATCTTGCCTAACCTAATATACTAAAGCAACTTTAAAAAGCCAAGTGAATAAAAGCTTTACAGATGTGCAAAAAAACTACAAAAATGCTTAAAATAAAATGATTACAGTAAAGTTCAATCTATTACCATCAAATTTCAGACAAAACCAAACACCGTCAGCCCCTAACAGCCTCCCTGATGGACATGCACTTCCTGCAGGCTCAAACTAAACAGTATGAACAACTAATGGCTCGTTAATGACAAAAGAGCCTCAGGTTTGTTTCCTGACACCTCATGCTCTAAAACACAACCTGCCGGTAGTATTTCAGTCAGGCGTCGCTGCTCGACCCTTACATTACGATGACCTTTGACCCTTTTTATTCACTGCCTCCGTCAAGCTACAGCCGGTCATTTTTACAGGCGTTCGAACGCATAAATTTGCTCTGTACGGTAGGCGTGCGAGGATGGGAACCGTCAGCTCATCTCTGATTTAAAGCTGTAATAAGTGGCATGTCTTGGTTGTCGGCACACAGACTGTATGTGAGCTACTGGAGGAAACTATTAAAAAACACTTCAACGCTATCGGCTCTCAAACACGCAGGCTTATTTTTGCTTTGGTTCATTCAGAAAAAGCACTGTGGCATTAGGGAGCGTAAATTTAAGCTGTCAGAGCCACAGCTTGTGTATTGTCTTTTCTCCTGTCGCATATAATAGCTTCATTCTTGTAATCCAGTTTCACTTATATGAAGAGATTTGGACTTTTTAGGAGGTTGTTGTGAAAGCATCTGTTGTTTTGTGGTTGTTGCTAGAAGGGATACAGGTAGGGTTGAGTATTGTTTCGATACTGGTGCTAAATCAATGCTTTTAAAATTGTACTGGTGCCTTAACCGATACTTTTGTGTCACAAAATTATGATGGATGACTTTAGGAAAAACTTTTATTGTACAAAAAAATATTTTAATCATTTTAATTGAACAGTAAAAAAAGTTTAAAGTAAACATTAATTCATATTTTATATATTTGAATTGAAAAGCATTAATATATTTCTTATATATTTCTTATATATATTTCTTTTGAAAATTTGCATTATGCAACTAACATTACAACTTAAGCTAACTACAAAACTACTAACCGGTCATCGAAATCAGGGAACACCTTTTCTAGGGTTAGGACTTGTGACAACATTTACATGGACATCAGTAATTGAATGATTTGCCTTAAGTTGAAGAAGACAATAATACGATTTAGGTTTTTACATGAGTTGCTTTTTGAATGTTCCTTTCATGATTCTGTTTTACATGTTATAGCACACCACGCTATCCATGCATCCTCCAGTTTCATGTAATTTCAGGTGTTTAATTTTTTATTTTTTTATTTAGTTTGTTTGCATTATTTATAGAGCACATTTAAAAACAACAGATTTTGACCAAAGTGCTTTACAAAAAGACCAGCATACAAAATCTATACTTTTTAAATACAGTTGAAGTCTTTATTTTTATTTAGAATTATTAGCTCCCCTTTGGAGTTTTTTTTTTCTTTTTAAAATGTTTCCCAAATGATGTTTAGCAGAGCAAGGAAATTTTTTACAGTATATCTGATAATATTTTTTCTTCTAAAGAAAGTCTTATTTGTTTAATTTTGTCTAGAATAAAAGCTATTTATTTTGTCTAGAAAAAACGTTTTTAATTTTTAAAAAAACATTTTAAGGACAAATTATTAGCCCCTTTAAGCTATATATTTCTTCGATAGTCTACAGAACAAACCATTTTTATACAATACCTTGCCTAATTACCCTTACCTGCCTGATTAACCTAATTAGCCTAGTTAAGCCATTAAATGTCACTTTAAGCTGTATAGAAGTATCTTGAAAAATATCTAGTCCAATATTATGTACTGTCATCATAGCAAAAATAAAATAAATCAGTTATTAGAGATGAGTTATTAAAACTATTATGTTAAGAATGTGTTGAAAAAATCTTCTCCGTAAACAGAAATTAAAGAAAAAAATAAATAGGGGGGCAAATAATTGTGACTTCAACTGTATGAGCAATTCCAGCATTATGGATGTGACATTTGCTGTAAAATCTCAAAAAATAAATTGACAGAGGAAGTATATGTTAACATAATATTGAAACATCCGTTTATTTTTTTCAAAATAATTAACAACAGAGTTGTGGGAGCAGAAAAATATCAATCTGTAACCATTTTTTATATTTTAAGTGAGGAAAAACAACCATGCGTTATGGATGTGATGAAAAAAGTTAGAGAGTTTACAGTGTACAAACTACTTTGTAGAAATTCTGTGAATTTAACTGCACAAGCCAAAAGAAATAATTCTAATTCAAAGGATAAGAGCTGGCTCACTATAGAACAAACATGAGTGATTTTATTTTATTTAGCATTTTTGCATTTATAAGGAAAGTTCATTATTATGGATGTGACATCTCTGTGTTATGGATGTGAAATTGCCACTTGTGCGACTTCAAATATCAAATATAATTGTTTGAAAACATTGGCTGAGACATTTTTGAGTATTTAAAGTAAAATACAAGCCTAAACAAATAAAAAAAACACAGAAATGGTTTCGATATTTTGGCGAAAACAACATTTTTTACATGGGAAGGTTGACATTTGCTCATATATATATATAAGCTCTGTCACCTCTTGATTTTAACTGTGATTTGGGAACAACTAGCTGAAACTGGTTTTCTGACCTGATTGGCCTCAATAAAGTATGTCAGTAAAAAAGCTCACCGATGTAAGTAGGTGCCAGACCATTGAAACCTTTAAAAACAAATAGCAATAACTTATACTGAATCCTAAATTGGACTGGGAGCCAGTGAAGGGGTGATGAAACTGGTGAGATACTAGAAATGTATTATTTTCTTTTTTCTTTAACTGCAGTTTCACTTTCATTTATCCACATATTGTTTATGCCCCGTGACAAACTGAGGTGTTGGATGAGAATATGAAGTAAAGACTGGTGGAAGAGTGTTGTTTTAATGGAATTAAAACATGCCGAACGGAAAGAAAAAACCTCCGCATTTTGTGATGCGGGTGTCTGTGGTCCTTTAAGTTCATCAAAAATCTCTGTTTACATGTTAGTCTAGACTCTTAATCAGATTATTGTCTTAATCATATTAAAATCGTAGTATTGGTGTCCATGTAAACGCACTAAGTAAAAGTGCCAGATGATGTGCATTCCTCTGTCTTTAAGTTGATTTCATGCGCATTAGAGTTGGTGTGACACAACGCGCACCAATGTGTGCCTTTGATGTACTCCTTGATGCTTCTTACTTCCTTGTCTCAGCACCAGTGACAACAAAATTCATATGCTAATTCAGTCCAGTGCATAACGGTTAGATAGGGTTTCGGTACCCAACCCTAGATACTGCTACAGCCGAAAGTTAACGAGAAATATTTTGTGTTATTTATTAAATTATGCAGTAATTGTATTTCATTAATGTCTACCCCTACCTTAAACCCAACCCTCACAGTAATGTAAAACAGTAATTATACCGATATTAATTATTGTTGCACAGTGTCACAAAAACGATGCTACACTGATGTGAGTATCTGCAGATGTATCCCTTCTAGACTTTACACTGCTTTGTTGTTGCTAAGATAGTTGCTTAGGAGTTGCTAGGTAGTTACATCACATTACTAAACAATGACATTCATACTGAGCTGAACTGAATCTTAAGTGAACTAAGCCTAACTAAGATTCATTAGCTAAATCACTCAAAAATCATTCTAAAACTGTTAAGAAAAATTATTATCCTGCTATTAAAAATTATTAAAAGTTTTCATTTTCAATGTTTTATCCTGAACATTTATATGCCGGGTTATACAAATGTAGGCTAAGTGCATCAAGAATCCTACTAAAATCTCTGTCAGCTTTAGCTGCTATCAACACAGATGCAGATTTTGTGTTCAGAGTTGAATTCAATCATACCGGTTTTGTCCGTGAGCAGATAAGAGATGCGGCCCAGCTGCTCTGGTATAGTACTAGCTCGAACCACCGTCCCGGGGATTTTAGAGTCTTTCTTTATCATCCAACTGAACACCATTTTGCCCATGTCCAAATTCACACGCAGACTGGAAAAGAAAAAAAAAATTGTTAAAGTAAGTTTTGCTGTATCTTTTAGTTGATTTATTCTTGCTTTTTTTAATTTACATGCTCTCATAATCTTTAAAGGTCCTGTGCAGTCTTTTGAAATGTGCATTTTTTTTATTTGATGTTTGATATAATCTCAACTAAACAAAATAATAATAGAGGGTGGGGCATACAGTAGCCCCTCCCCTTTAAAAAAAAACGGCCAATAGCGTTTTGTAGCATTCTGCCAGTGAAATATGGAAGCATACGAGTAGCATAATTCAATTCAAAATGTAATATGCAAAATGGCAATGCAATATGTTAAATGGCAATGAATTTCTGTATTTGAATTTGCATTTTCCAAGACATATGAGCAATGTTTGGTGCAGAATGAAAATGAAAATTAAATTACATTGTTTGCATTTCTCATTTCAAACACTGTTTTAATATGTAAATTGTATCCACATTTTAAAGCTTTATAAGTAGCTAAATTAAATTGAAAATGCTATACACAAACTGAATTTGATGTGAATAAAGCAAAAGCAGAAACTGTAGCAAAATGATCATTTAAATGTTATTTGTCCTAAATGCATTTACACTCGCGTCTAGGAAATGCAGGATTACATTTTCAGCATAACAGCATGGGATGTGTGTAGCAAAATTAATTTTGAAATTTAATACACAAAACGATAATGCAGTATGTAAATGGCAGTGTATTTCTGTATTTCAGTTAGCATTTTCCAAGACATATGTGCAATGTTTGCTGCAGAATGAAAATGAAAATGAAAAAAAACATAATGCATTTTCATTTAACACATCGCGACGAATGAAAGCCGATTTGAAATTGAAAATGCATTCTGGCCTGGCCACGCCCACAGACGGCCACCGTTGCTGCAAGGCAGGTTTTAGGGTATGTCGTCACAGCTGCAGCGAGGACTATTTGGGACATTTGGCATCATAAACATGGCGAAGTCTGTTCCTCAGCGGCTTCGTGAAGCTGCACGAGCATTCGAGCGTGAACTGGGAAATACTTTAGAAAAGAAATCACCTCCTAGCTCAGTAAACTTAGCCTTAGGTTTGATATTCGCGCATGCAGTTTTAGGGATCATCTGCAAATTACATCAACAGAACCAAAACGCACAGTAACGCAAAGCAGAAAAAAATTCAGGAGATTCCAATAAATGGTTAGAGGCCAGACTGATTTAATACAGGTAGCAAAGCTACTATACCTCTAACTATATGGTACATACAATGCAGAAATAGGCAATAGCTCTTGTCATAAGCACACAGTACACATCAGCTAAAGCCCCTTTAGGTTCTGTCGATGTAATTTGCAGATGATCCCTAAAACTGCGTGCGCGAATATCACACCTTAAGCCAGGTTTACTGAGCTAGGAGGTGATTGGCTTTCTAAAGTATTTCCCAGTTCACGTTTGAGGGCTCGTGCAGCTTCACGAAGCCGCTGAGGAACAGACTTCGCCATGTTTATGATGCCAAATGTCCCAAATAGTCCTCGCTGCAGCTGTGACGACATACCCTAAAACCTGCCTTGCAGCAACGGTGGCCGTCTGTGGGCGTGGCCAGGCCAGAATGCATTTTCAATTTCAAATCGGCTTTCACTCGTCGCGATGTGTTAAATGAAAATGCATTATGTTTTTTTTCATTTTCATTTTCATTCTGCAGCAAACATTGCACATATGTCTTGGAAAATGCTAACTGAAATACAGAAATACACTGCCATTTACATACTGCATTATCGTTTTGTGTATTAAATTTCAAAATTAATTTTGCTACACACATCCCATGCTGTTATGCTGAAAATGTAATCCTGCATTTCCTAGACGCGAGTGTAAATGCATTTAGGACAAATAACATTTAAATGATCATTTTGCTACAGTTTCTGCTTTTACTTTATTCACATCAAATTCAGTTTGTGTATAGCATTTTCAATTTAATTTAGCTACTTATAAAGCTTTAAAATGTGGATACAATTTACATATTAAAACAGTGTTTGAAATGAGAAATGCAAACAATGTAATTTAATTTTCATTTTCATTCTGCACCAAACATTGCTCAAATGTCTTGGAAAATGCAAATTCAAATACAGAAATACATTGCCATTTAACATATTGCATTGCCATTTTACATATTACATTTTGAATTGAATTATGCTACTCATATGCTTCCATAGTGAAAGTGGTTAAGCTTAAGCACATCACATGTGAAGCGCCATGAAGGGGGCGGGGCTTGTGTTTGGAGATAGCATTCCAAATGCACTTATAATATCTTCAGTGGGTTTAGATTTTACAGACAAATCAGAAGGATATCCAACCTGATGGGGACGATGTTGGAGAAAAGTAGAAGGAAGCGGAAGATCTGGAGATACCAGCGTCCAGCGAAATGCTGCAGAGCCACCATGACCAGAGACACCACGACCAGAGCTCCGAACAGGATCTTAGTCAGGCAGTTCACCTCCAGGTCAAACAGGCCGATCTGCAACAGCGCATCATCACATACTGTCTCCAAATACTGTCTTTCATATTGATAAAAAAATTTTTTCTATATATATATATATTTTTTTTTGCCCAAAAATGTTTAAATGTAATGCCTTATCTGAAATATTTTGACTTTAGAATACTGCCATTTTTACCTTATGCCTTGGGTTGGAAGTGTTCATTACACTCCGCAGCTCTTTACCAGTGTAAATCACCACCCCAACTACCGTGCCTTGAAGTAGAGAGCAAAACATTATTATATTATTATAAAACATTAAAAAACAAAAGCTTCTCTCAGAAAAAAGTGCCACTCTTATGGTTTTTCTGACATGAACGTTCATGTAGTGTGATATGTCCCAGTCTGTGGCTGTAAAAAGTATGCAAATATTCAAAAATCATTAGGTTTTGTCTCCCAAAAGGAAGTGATTGTGAAAAACATGAAACAAATAGTCCAAAACAGTCTTACTTGCTGCACAAACCTACATGCATTTGTAAAAATCTGCATAATGTCAGTCTTTGCTCTTGATTGGCTGTTTTAAACACTTTGACCCTCAAACATTGTAGTTCCAGCTAAAGCCTGGATGAGCTGACGTTTGTGTTGTCAATATACTGAATTGTTGCTGTTTTTAGTCCTGTAAAAGCAAAAAAACAAAAAGATTTAACTGCAAAAACAAAGATGAAGACTTAAATAGACTCCCAAAGATGATAGTTCACCCAAAAAATGGAAATTCTGTCATCATTTACCATATTTCAAACCTTTATGAGTTTCCTTCTTCTGTTAAACACAATAGAAGATATTTTGAAAAATGCTGACAAACAAATATAAAAGTAGTCAATAGTTACTGTTTTTTTCCCCAGCTTTCTTCAAAATATCTGCTTTTGTGTTTGAGAGAAGAAAGAAATTCATTAAGCCTTAACCCTTTAAGCTCAAATTAATATAGCAAAACAAATGTAGTACATGTTTACAAGTGCTTAGAATTGCAATTCAGATATCGTAATTGGCATTTGGTTTTGACCAATAACAAAAGACTGAACTGGATTTTATAAGAAAATTATATTACGGGTTTTATCTTATTCTATATAGATATATAAACCCAATGTAGGGGATCATTAACATACAAAATAGTGCAATTGGAGCACTTTAAATAAAACAATTGTGCAGATAATTCTTTGAGATTTGGCGCTCTATTTTAACGATCTAGGCGTAAAGTCTAAAGCGCATGGGGCAAAAGCAATAGCCACGGCGCATGTTCTAACTGGGTTGTGCTTATTCTCTTAATGAGTTATGGGTGTGTTTTGAGCATAACATGCATTAAACCTATCAGAGTCTCATCTCCCATTCCCTTTAAGAGTCAATTGTGTCGCGCCATGGCGCATGTTTCATTTCAGACTTTTTAAGAGTAAAAACTAGCGAGAAAACAGTTAAACATACCATCTGCAGTGTGAGGATAAAGAATGAGCCTCCTCCATTCGGCCTCTTTACTTTTTACTTTACTTTCATAGAGTAAAGCAGGTATTTCTAAAATCAGACACACCTGGGCTAGCTAATCAAGCTCTTACTAGGCTTTCTCTTTGCAGGTGTGTTGAGGCAAGTTGGAGCTAAAATCTGCAGGACAGCGACTCTCCAGGATCGAGTTTGGACACCCCCCTGGAGTAAGGAAACGGTGTTGTACGCAATCCACTGAAGACATCAATTACCTTACATGCTTAATTTTGTTTCTTGTGGTGATGCAAACATCCCCAAAACATGACAGGAGGACAAATCTAAACTTGTTTGTATTAAAACAAATATAAATATGCATATAATAAATAAAAGTAGAAATGAGAATAACATCATTCAAAAATTGTCATAATTAAATGGAAGAAAGCCCATTTAGGTAAAGAAGGCATGGAGGCTGTGGTTTTTATATTTATGTAGAAAATAATAACTTTTTGTATCATTTAATCCTTTAATTTTTTTTGTATGTAAAGATATGTGTGTATTGCTGTACATCCTGTGTGTATTAAGCAATGTGTAAGCCTTTGGACCCGCAGAGGCGCATAGCCGACGTGCTCTGCACTGGACTTTAGACATTTCAGTGTCTATTTCAGTTCCTCTAAATAGCAACGCTCCAACAATGCGCTCTAACACACTTTCTTTTTATACCAACATGCCCATCAGTCCACAAAGTGGCGCAAATAGTTTTGCTATTTAAAAAATGTGCAGCAAAACATGAAAATTACTGTTGCGCTGGTCTGAAAATAACATCAAATTGCACCATTCATGTCTTGTGCATTATTGTGCAGAGTGTATGAAAGGGGCCTTGGTCTTTGTATATTATAAACATAGATAAATGCATATGCATGTTTGTCTATTGCTATAAATAGACTATTAGACAATGTTTTGTGATGGTACCTTCTGCCTGTCATAAACAGCTGACTTTTAAAAGCATTTCATATTCTGCATTTAAAGTGGTTGTTTGTTGTAATTTTTTGTAGTAATTAGTTTTCTGTTCTACAAGCCGATAATTGCCTGATTTCTCGTAAAATTTGATTATAAATTAAATACTCTACCACTTAAAAGTATGAAATACTTGAGAATGTCATCTTAAATTATCACCGATTCCAACTATTTATCCTTAATTTAGTCTATGCACTATTTTTGTTGACGAAATAGAGTAAATATAACTTAAAATGATGACTTTTGTGTATTGATCCTTTGTTTTTTGCAAAGCAAGACATATACTCAATTATGGCAGCTCACAAATGTCAAAACAATGATAATATCATCAAAAACCTAAACATGATATTTTGATCTTTTACTCCACCTCACTTATATTTAGGTACATTTATGCTATTAATGTATATCAATCATTGCAGTGTGGAATTACCAAAACAGATTAAATATTACATTGAATTAAGTTATAAATATAAATATAAATTAAGTTAGTTTGTGGTTAATTTTTTATGTTTCAAACAATAATCAAATATACACCAGTTGTTCAACTGGGACTCAACTTTTTGGATTCAGGCCTGCAAATGATATATATGATTTATGATTGTCAAGATAAGTAAAGTTAATGGGTTAAATTAAATAAAAACATTGTACTCCGTTAAAAAATAGTGTAAATGTAAGGGTGCTTTCACACCTACGCTGCATCCGAAACCGCATACTTCCATACTACAGTATATAGTACGCTAAAATCAGTATGTGAGCCGAGTAGTATGTCCGAATTCATAGAATTCGAAAATCAGTATGCGAGAAGTACCCGGATGACTTACAACTTCCGGCGAGATTCTAGAGTGCGCATCCCATGCATGCTGTGCTATCCCATGATGCCCCGCAAGCGAATTCATGAATGGGAATAAAGCGACGCAATTGACGCAGGTAGGTCACGTGACCATGACAAAATGGCGGATGTAGTACGTCCGAATTCCATTCCTACTTTTCACATTCATACTATATAAAACGTATTTTTCTAACGGCCGAGTAGTACGTTTAAATTCAAATGCAGTACCTACTGAGTAGTAGGTGGTTTCAGACGCAGCCCTAGACTTTTGTTTCGGAAACGTCTCGTTTGCCCAGTTAGCGCGGTTCGTTTGGCGTATGTGAAACCAGCAATCACGCTCGGATTCACGCCAAATCAATCGGTCCAAGACCGTCTGAATGAGGTAGACTCGGCTCGATTGAAACGAACTCTGGAGCGTATCGATTTTAGTGAGAAAGCAAAACGATCCGAGCCCAGCTACATCACAGTGTATTATGGATATGTAATAGGCATATATGGCTATAAAAAGAGGGAATTATTATAAGTAGGGCGGGATGTCATTCCTACCGGTAAATGTGTGTTTCATGTTAAATACGAATGTAAAAGCATGCTGAACTATTAACGAGAGCTGTTTATCCAAGGGCTATGCATGAGAAAGTCTTACCTCTGATTTATATCTGGTGACGACGTCTGTTGGGCGTAACCATTCAAAATGAAAGCACAGCTTTCCGCTTATGATGTCTAATTGCTCATTGCCATAAATTAAAATAAGGACGCATGACAGCTGAGCAGGACTCTGCAAAATAAACCATGAAACTCTGACCAATGTGAGGAGAGTTTACTCACACATGACTTGTTTTAGCTCTTTTGGTCCGTTTAGAAACTTTGCCGTGTGAAAGCGAACGGCACCAAGAACAAAGTGCAACATTGTAACAATTTTAATCCCTGTTTCGGAACAACTGAATCTATTCACAGATGTGAAAGCACCCCAATGCTCTTTTATCTTTCAAAATAAATGTATTAATATGAATTCATATATACTGTGCTCAGCATAAATTTGAAAATGAATATTTTTATTAACTTGAATATAGCCAATACTTTTGGATGCAATTATACACATCAGTTTTAGCAAACAGTTATGTGCATTCAGATAAAAGTTTGGCCACCTAACATCTTTATTTATAAAAGGATAATACATTTAATTTCAAATGAGGTTTGGAAAAAATATATACAAAATTATTGTAAAACATATGCTGGATAAGTTGGCGGTTCATTCTGCTGTGGCGACCCCTGATTAATAAAGGGACTAAGCCGAAAAGAAAATGAATGACGGAATTATTCCCCAACATCTTTATCAGGGTGTACTTATTTTTGCACTGTGACCTTAAGTTATTCTGTTTGATTAGGTCCAGATTTCTCTTCAGTACTGACCAATCTAATGTACTGTATATGCACAAATATAATAATGTAAAGCATCCTAAATAAAATATGAATTAAAAAGAGAGATTTGTGAGAGGTGAACTTATTTATGCTGAGCACTGTAATTTAAAAAAACAAAAAGAAATCTGCTGGTTACCAGAGGCGATGACGGTGCTTGCCCAAAGTGTGTTCTCAATGCTCAGGCTTTCATTGACTGGAGGATCTCCATCTTCCTGTCAGATGCAAAACACAAACCCGAGCACGTTTTGTCAGTTCTTAAACACAAATCCATTGTAGGAGCCATTTGTTTACTTTATTTAAAGGTTTATGTTGTTAATCCTGATTCTTTCATTTTAGAGATATGCACCCCCTGCAGGCCAGAGGAAGCTTAAAAGCCTGGGTGTGGCCAACTGGAGAAGGGCCTGCTGGGAGCACATGTTCTTTAGACCTTTCCTTCAAGTATGTTAAGAGTCCAAATTTGTTTGACTTTTGCTTATTTGATATCAGTTTTGTGTTCAAATTAACTCTACAATAAACAGCAACATATTAAGACTTGTAGTTCCATGTACTATAACCAAGGTTGAGTCTAAACCCCTTAGCAGACCCAAGATGTGATTAATGTGGAATTTTGATTAAGGATAATCACAACAACCACTATAACAAAGCAATATGTGTATATGTACTCACTCTGGTGAAGGTGCCGATGAAGTTATGGATGTCAATGTTCGGCTCTTCAGCATAAACAAATGACCTGATCTGCAGCAGATCCTGAGAAAACATATTCAAAATTAGCTTAAGTTTGATATAGCATTCAAATTAAATGTGTGTGCATTTACCAATATAGTTTCTTAAACAATATGCATTTTTTAAAAGTAGAGTTACAGAAAATATTTTAAAGGTTTTTTTAATATCTTTATCAATACCATTTGCACATCAGCTTGTGAAATAGCTTTATAGTTTTTATACAAGATATCAAGTGATGTGTTTATAATATAATATAATATAATATAATATAATATAATATAATATAATATAATATAATATAATATAATATAATATATATTCAAGTATTATGTACTATACGGAACAAGTCAAAAGTGTGAAAACATGTTTAATAAGTAAGTCTCATACTAATATACTTTGCTTTGTTGTTTTAATGTATTATGGGTCTCCTAATCATTTATAATGATTTATAGTATAATCAATGATAAACCTTTTTGTCTTCATATTTTTGTAGAGATGTGAACATTTTTTACTTCCCAGGACTCATTTATTTTGAAATATAAATTTCCTAGCTGAAATAAAGAATATGATATAATATAATATAATATAATAACCTTTAAGATAACTGTTTACAGAACTGATGATAATTAAGAGTTTTTTTTGATCATCAAATTGGCATATACATAAATAAAGATTATAATTATATATAAAAATATATAAAAATATATTTTATATAATATATAAAAATAAAATTGTATATGAAAATAAAATTATACATAAAAAAAATATATATATATATATATATATAATTATTATTATTTTTATAATGATATGCCTATAAAATGACATAACAGATTGTCTGGTCATTTCATTAGTGCTGCAGTCATCACATCAGACTTTAAACTTTAAAACCCCCTAAAAAACAGTGAAAGTGGATAGAAATTACATGCATCCCCAAGCTGGGAGACTTCCTTACATAAAAGGAGAAGTGGATTGTCTGTCATTATCACAGTCCAAATCTCTACAATTCAAAATATTTAGAGATACCTTTTTAGACTGATCGTTATTACCTCTGTTTAGCATAAAAATGTTGCTCATGGGCAGTGATTCTGATGCTTTTGATAACATTTTATGATAAAAAAAAAGAGTCAACAAAAAGAGATCAGACAAAAATAAAATGATGAACTCAATGATTTGTTTGTCTTTTTCAAATATTTCCCAAATGATCTTTCTCAGAGCAAATCATTTTTCACAGTATTTCCTATAATATTTTTTTTTCTTCTAGAGAAAGTCTTATTTGTTTTATTTGGGCTAGAATAAAAGCAGTTTTTAATTTTGTAAACACCATTTTAAGGTCAATATTATTAGCACCCTCAAGCAAATATTTTTGATTGCCAACAGAACCAACCATTGTTAAATAATAACTTTCCTAATTAACCTAGTTAAGCTTTTAAATGCCACTTTAAGCTGAATACTAGTATCTTAAAAAATATCTAGTAAAATATTATGTACTGTCATCATGGCAAAGATAAAAAGAAATCAGCTATAGACTTCAAATGTATATCTTTTTGAATATGTTTTTATGTGTCATGCAACCATTTCTGTATGAAACTTACAGCAGCAGTGGGCAGTCTCTGTGTACAGGCCACAGGGAGGCGCAGTTTCCAATCGGTCTCTCCATCCAACTGATCAGTCCTCAGAAAACAGGAGCCTTTACGACAAAGAAGACAAATGTCTGATAACACACTAAATTCATGTAAGGGAAGACCAAAACACTATCTTTAAAAGATAATCACACGCCCCAAAAACAGTTTGTCATCATTTATTTGCCTTCCACTTGCCCCAAATATGTTTAAATTTCTTCAATTCACTTCAATTCAATTCAATTTAATTTAATTAAAATTAATTCAATTCATCTTTATTTCTATAGTGCTTTTTACAATGTAGATTGCGTCAAAGAAAAGAGAGTAAATATTTAGCATTCTAGCAATTTAGGGGAATAGTGTAAAGAGCTGATGTAGTTTAATATAAAACACAAAAGAAGACATTTTGAAGTATTTTCAACTTATATTGAAGTATTTTCGACTTATATTGACTTATATAAGAATGTGAATGTTTACCAGCAACCAAAATCACTTAAAATACCTTCTTTTTACTGTGTTTGAACAGGTTTGGAATCACTCCAGGGTGATAAAATGTTAATTTTTGGGTGAACTATTGAAAAAAAAACTATTGATTGGATATACTACGTGGTTGCAAACTTGATATGGGCTGAATTTAAATAAACAAATTAATTTGAACATCACTACATTTAATTTGTTTGTTTAAATTCAGGCCATATCAATTGTTTGCAACCACTTACTTTGAAAAAAAGAACTTAGTAAATGCAATGAAGTATTTTACTGTAATATATTTCTGGTGAACTCCAGAGGGCAGTGTGATGTAACATTTCTAACTGTGTCTTACCAACAAAAAAATGTTGCTCTTTCACTAAACAACTTATTTAGTAGCTTTACCCACCACATACTGTGCCTAAACTCATTACGAACCGTCTGAAATGTGAATCGCCACCCAAACTAAACTGCTAGTCATGTAAACAACTGGACTAAGCCTAAAGCTAACCTGCTGCTCTCCCAACCCCCAGTCATTTGAAGATATGTCCCTCTGCCATTCAACCCTGGACTCTTAATAATTGCCTAATGGTGTCCATCTGCAGGGCAGATAACAATGCTTCCCTTCCCGTAAAACTAACACATCAAGCCCTACTGGCAACTTCCACCCCCGAAAAGGAAATCTCAGCCAGGCGGAATTCCAGCACAATCAGTGGCCAAAAAAAGACTTTATCAGATACATTTAGACCAATTAGAGAAGCTACAAATTTAACCAGAAGTTAAAACCTAGCAATGTAAAACAATTCAGCAACCGTCTACAATACTTAATCAGTGACCAGAACATTTTAAATCAAAATTCATTGAAAATTAAATCAAAATGATAGGATCCACTTAGAACATTTAGGAATCTTTCCAGAAGTTAAAACTTAGCAATGTGAAACTATTTAGCATCCATCTACATAACCCAATCAGTGACTAAAATAAACAAATTAATAAATAAGACTTAAAATAGATCATTTTTACCAACTGTAAAAACAAATTTTCCCAAAAGTTAAAATTAGCAATGTAAAACTGTTTAACATCTGTCTACAAAACTCAATCTGTGACATTAAATAAATAAATAAATAAATAAATAAATAAATAAATAAAATGACAGGATCCGTTTAGAACAATTAAGGAAGGAAACCAATCTTCCCAGAAGTTAAAACTTAGCAATTTAAAACTATTTGGCATCCATCTAGAAAACTCAATCAGGGACTAAAATAAATAAATAAATAAATAAATAAATAAATAAATAAATAAATAAATAAATAAATGAATGAAAACATTTTTGCTGAACTGGGTAGAAACTAAATTTCCCAATAGTTAAACATTAGCAATGCAAAACTGATTAGCAACTGTCTACAATACTCAATAACTGACAATAAATAAATAAATAAATAAATAAATAAATAAGTTGGGTATAAATGAATTTAGACAGAAGTTAAACCTTAGCAATGTTAAACTGTCTAGCAACTGGAAACAATACTCAATCAGTGACAAAAACAAATGAATGAATGAATGGATCCACTTCGAACAATTAGGGAAGGAAACTAATATTCCAATCTAAAACTTGCAATGTAAAACTGTTTGGCATCTATCTAGAAAACTCAACCAGTGACTAAAATAATTAAATAAGTTAGATTAAAATCAGATCATTTTTGAGGAACTGGGTAGAAACTCAATTTCCCAGAAGTTAAACATTAGCAAATACAAAACTGCTATGTAATACCCAAATAGCGACAAAAACGCATGAATAAATGAATGAATAAATCAATAACGACTTAAATCAGATTAACTTAAATCCAACTGGGTTAGAAACTAAATTTTTCAGTAAGTTAAACCTTAGCTTTGTAAAACTACAATACCCAATCATTGACAAAAATGAAATAAATAAAATCCATTTAGAACAATTAGTTAAAAAAAAATAAATAAATTTAGCAACCATCTAGAAAGCTCAATCAGTGACAAAAAAACAAATAAAAAAATAAGATTTAAATTGGATCATTTTGACTAACTACACTGTAAAAATATCTAACAATTAATTAAGATATTTCTGTATTTCATGATTTACAGTTTTATTTCTGTTTTTTTACAATTGTGAACTGAATTATAAGATGTTAATTTGTGCCCTATCGACTTTTGATGATGAAAATTCAACTGTGTGTTTTATCAAAAGTGACTACTATTAAAGTTTTAATGGTCTGAAATAATATAATTTGTAATAAATAATATAAAGAAAATAAAGTCCGTAAAATAACAGAAAACATACTGGCAGTTAATGACCAATAATCAATATATCGACGACTTATCGTGCAATACTTGGAGATGATCTCAACAATTTTTTACCATTGCATTATATATCTACAAATTTAAAAAAAATAATCTTAAAGACGTTTTACAATGACATTTACATTCTATCTCACCGATGTCAAGGTTTAGAATTGGACATTTACCTAATAGGACATTTAATAGGATATATAATCGAGCATTTACCTTCTTAACATTAAATTATACAATCTAAATAAACTTTTGAAGTGTGATGGCTATTTCCATTATAATGCTGTTATTTAACAAGTGGCATAAAATGATCTCAAAATGACAGTAACATATCATTATATCGCACAACAAAAATTCCTTATCTTGACAAGCTTGTTTATTGCTATGTTTTTTTTTATATTTAAAACTATTTGACTATTTATTTTACTATATTAATGTCAATAAGTCACTTTTATAAAACTTTTCAACATCAAAAGTTGTTGGAGGAAAGATTAAAGTCCCACAGTTGCAACCAAAAGCATAATTAAACAAATGAATGAATAATAATAATAACTACAAACATCTCAAAATCAGGAAAATCTGTTAATTTACAGATATTTTTAGTGTAGTTACAGCAAATCAAAAGCTAAAAACTATCTATAATCAATAAGTGACAAAAAAAGTTAGTTGAGAGATCAATGCAAGCACAAATTTTTTTCAAAAAGTTGGGACTAAAAAATTTATGTTACAAATCAGTGGCCAATAAAGAGTTTAACAGATTAATTTAGACCTTTCGGAGCAGCTATACTAAATTACATTAAAGGGATAGTTTTCCCAAAATTGAAAATGCATTCACTATTTCCTCAGCCTTGAGTGAGTTTCCTTTTTCTGTTGAACACAAAAGAAGATATTTTGAAGAATGCTGAAAACCTGTAACCATTGACTATCATAGCAGGAAAAACAAGTGATACGGAAGCCAACGGTTACAGGTTTTTCGCATTATTTTGTGTTAAACAGAGGAAAGAAACTTTTAAACGTTTAAAACAAGTAAAATGTGAGTAAATGATCGCATAATTTAGATTTTTGGGTGAACTATACCTTTGAAAATGTAACATTATAATCAAAAATCAATCATCTTGACTCCATTTGCTTATGGAGTCTTATGCTTATTTTTTTCTGTCCTTCTTTTGTCCTGATGACACTTTAAATTTGTTTGCTGTCTATTCCTTCAGTTTTCTGAGCTACTTTGCATGCTTAGATTTTCCTCTTGGCTTCATTGAAATTTGAAAGACAAAGAGATCGTCATTAAAGATGCATCAGTCCAAACAAAGGATCGACAATAAGGTCACTGGTCCTTTTAAATGACAAGCAGTGATATTTACCATTGAGAATTCAATATATCAATGTGAATATAATTGTGTAATTGTCTTTTTAGCAGTCATGTGATTTTGGCATTCACGTGGAACAGTGATGAAGCATGACTCTATTGTATTATATTGCCTAAAATCATTTAATCATCAGCTCACCTATTTAAAAAAGTCTGCTAGCAATGTCGAATTAATCTGAAATATAATAAGGGCCTTTTTATAAATAAAATATGTACATGAATATAAATAAAATGCATGTCATTAAGTAGACTTTTTATAAATAAAAGTATAAATATAAAGTATGCCATTAAGGGACATTTTATAAATATAATGTACATTTACTTGTCCCCTCATTAGGTACACTCGTCCAACTGCTCGTTAACGCAAATTTCTAATCAGCCAATCACATGGTAGAAGTGCAATCCATTTAGGCATGTAGACATGGTCAAGATGATCTGCTGCAGTTTAAACAGACCATGAGAATGGGGAACAAAGGTGATTTAAGTGACTTTGAACGTGGCATGTTTGTTGGTGCCAGACGGGCTAATCTGAGTATTTCAGAAACTGCTGATCTACTGGGGTTTTCACGCACAACCGTCACTAGGGTTTACAAAGAATGGGCAGAAAAAGAGAAAAAAAATCCAGTGATCGGCAGTTCTGTGGGTACAAATGCCTTGTTGATGCCAGAAGTCAAAGGGGAATGGCCAGACTGGTTCCAGCTGATAGAAAGGCAACAGTGACTGAAATATACACTTGTTACAAACAAGGTATGCAGAAAAGCATCTCTGAATGCACAACACATCCAACTTTAAGGCGGATGGGCTACAGCAGCAGAAGACCACAATTGGTGCCATAGCTGTCAGCTAAGAACAGGAAACAGAGGCTACAATTGGCACAGACTCACCCTAACTGGACAATAGAAGATTGGAGAAACGTTGCCTGGTCTGATGAGTCTCCATTTCTGCTGCGACTTTCAGATGGTAGGGTCAGAATTTGGCATCAACAACATGAAAGCATGGATCCATCCTGCCTTGTATCAACGATTGAGGCTGGTGGTGGTGGTGGTGTAATTGTGTGGGGATATTTTCATGGCACACTTTGGGCCCATTAGTACCAATTTAGCATCGTTTCAACACCACAGCCTACCTAAATACTGTTGCTGAACATGTTCATCCCTTTATGACCACAGTGTACCCATCTTCTGATGGCTACTTCCAGAAGGATAACGCGCCATGACAAAGTACAAATCATCTCAGACTGGTTTCTTGACCATGACGATGAGTTCACTGTACTCAAATGGCCTCCACAGTCACCAGAACTCAATCCAATAGAGAACCTTTGAGATGTAGTGGAACGGGAGATTCGCATCATGGATGTGCAGCCAACAAATCTGCAGCAACTGCGTGATGCGACCATGTCAATATGGAGCAAAATCTCTGTGGAATATTCCCAGTACCTGGTTGAATCTATGCCATGAAGGATTAAGGCAGTTCTGAAGGTAAAAGGAGGTCCAACCCGGTAATAGTAAGGTGTACCTAATAAAATGGCTGGTGAATGTATGTTATTAAGGGGCATTTTTGCAAATATAAAAATAAATGGGTGTCATTCAGGTGCATTTTTACAAATATAATGCATGTCAACTAAATAAACTTAATAATTTGCATAATCTAAAAAATATATATAATAAAGAGATTATTTATAATATTATAATTACTACAACAAAGATAATTTAGGAAATAATATATAAGGCCGCAATAACATCAAAGTTTTTGTTTTTGCACAAGCCAGCAAAACCAGAGACGATTAGTCACCCTAACCACCCTGTGCATTTCTTCCAAAAAAATTAAAAATAACACATAAATAAATTAATTTCCAACACATGCCATCTTTCTGGCTAATTTCAACACTGCTCATTAAAGGTCCGAGGTTTAGCTCTAATCCCTCCATCTACTCGTAGTTGCCCCTTGCGGCCATGTCATTTCCCCTGCGCTTTTGTTTGGGAAATTTGGATGAATGACCGACAGATGTTTACCATTTCTTTCAGAGGTCCTTAGGAAGATCATGTCAGCAGGAACACGCTGATTCTATAAAGAGTTTGGAGGGAGAGAGACAGAGATTGGGGGGAGGGAGGAAGAGAGACAGAAAAAAAAACAAGGTAAAAGATAAAAAGCAAAAGACACAAACTTCAACAGCAGTCACCTCGGTTTAGATCAGTTTGGCTTTAATCTACTCAATTACCAGTATTTGGACTGGTTTTAAGAGTTTGGGCCCGCAGCAAATCACTGGGTGGCAGATCTGACCGCCGCTTCACTCGGGCCTGACCCTCGCTTCACTCCCAGCTCTGTTTGTAGTTATTAGAAGATGAATTCGCCATGCTATTAAACCCGGCAGATGTTTCAGAATGGGTGGACGAGACTCCGGTGTCTCCAAAAAGTGGGCTACGCTTTTAATCAATTAGGCTTTTACTATATGTAACCCCGTAGCCTGCTTAACCTCAAAATATTAAAGACAATTAGATTTGACACAGATTAGGGTTAGAAGATCAAACATATTACAACAGCAAAAAAGTTACAGTGAAATACCCTGTACCACGAGCCAGATTTGTGTTGCCAGAATAATTTATTGTAAAGACTGAATAAATGAAAGTATTTTGATCATAAAACAAACAGAGTTATTATGAATAACTAAAGCAATATTTTAAACTGAAAGTAAGTAAAATAGATTTTCAATCAAAATATAATCAACTTAATGTATTTTTGTCAAATTAAATAAGATATAAACAAAAATAAATATCTTAGCTCAGTCAAAATATTACAGTTTTTTTTCTAAACTTGGTAATATTACATTATTATTATTACATTATTTTAAAACCCTGTTATTTCATCAAAACTACTATATTCAATATTATATAGACAAAAATTTATATCAATTTACAAATCGCCATAATGGATTTTTCTGTATGCAGATTTTTTGCAAATAATTTTACAATAGGTAGAAAAATGAAAGACAATTGAAGCAAAAGTAATGGAAAGCGCCAGATTGATTTATTATGAAGACTGAATAAATTAAGTTTTTCAAAGTATTTTTGGTCATAAAACAGGATTATTATGGATAAGTAAAACTATTTTTAAACTGAAAAAAGTAAAACACATTTTAATTAAAAATAAAATTAACTCAATTTATTTGGTTAAAATAAAAAACTATAAAATACAAAATTTAAAAGATAAAACTTTATAGATTATAGATCAAAATTATAATATATATATATATATATATATATATATATATATATATATATATATATATATATATATATATATATATATATATATATATATATATATATATATATAAATATTATATATATTTTTTTTTTTTTTTTTTTTTTTTTTTTTTTTTTTTTTTTTATATATATATATATATATATGTTTGTGTTTTTTTTATATATATATATATATAT